TGTCTCTCTCACATCGATGTTTCTCTCTGTCTCACCCTCTCCCTTCCACTCTCTCTAAAAATCAATGGAAAAATATCCTCAGGTGATGATTAAAAAATAATAATAATCTCTCTATATAAAAGGCAATAATCTCTATATATAAAATGCAAATTGTCCCGTCGGGAGTTTGACCAAGAGACCGGGAGTTCGATCACTCACTATGATGTGCACTGACCACCAGGGGGCAGTGTGGAATGAAGGAAGGCCCCGGTCGGCAGCTGGAAGGAAGGCCCCGGCCGGCCCTGATCGCCAGCCAGGCCGAGGGACCCCACCCATGCACGAATTTCGTGCACTGGGCCTCTAGTAAATGAATAAAATACACAATAACTGACTATTTAGTGAGAGGCACTGACCCCTTTTCTCTTAGATTGTCAAATAAAAAAACAACACGGGCCAACACAACAACAGCCTTCCGGTGCGAACGCCCTGTCTTAAGCCATAAATCTATGGGTCACATAACAGAGTTGCATCTTATTGGTCACATCCCATAAGGTGGCATCTGATTGGTTGATTCTTGGTACCAGAAATCCTTACATTCAAGTCTAGGCAACTGATTTCTTTAAAAGTCACTTTGGAGCATAAAGGGTAGGTAATTATTATTTTTATTACTACTGGTAGTATTCTGTAAATCAATCAAAATTATACCTATTTTTTTGTCAGACTGGCAAGAAATATATTTTTTGGTGTGCGGCAGAATTTTAGTAATTTAACGTGTGTGTCCTGTGAGCTGAAGAAGGTTGAAAATTGCTGGGCGAGGTCAATATTAAACAGAAAAGATGCAGTCACAGTGGGGAAAAAAATCGAAATCCCTTGAAAATCTTGCTGTTTAAATAGGAAAGAAACTTTGGGGTTTTTTTTTCAATTTTTTTACAAATTTACATGACATGATCCATCACTTTGTGGAGATGGAAAAAATGTTGCTAAGCTATAAATTTCAAAAAACTAATTTAAGCCCCAGCCGGTGTGGCTCAGTGGAAAGGTCCCGGATTCGATTCTGGTCAAGGGCACGTACCTCGGTTACAGGTTCCCCGGCCCTGGTCAGGGTGCGTGCAGGAGGCAACCCATCGATGTGTCTCTCTCACATCGATGTTTCTCTCTGTCTCTCCCCCTCCCCTCCACTCTCCCTAAAAATCAATGGGAAAATATCCTCGGGTGAGGATTAACACAAACAAACAAACCCAGATTTGCTCAAGCAGGCCAGCGGATCATCTTTCTCTTCTATCTACAGAAATCCATCTTTCAAAGCTATTGTCACATGAAGAGGTCACTCATACCTCTCTCTGTCTCCCTTCTCCTCTGAAATCAATGAAAATATCTATACTAATAAAAGAGAAATATGCTAATTAGACCAGGAGACCTTCCGAACAAAGCTGAGGGCTTGGCTGGCCTGCAAACCGCCACCAAATGGCCCTCAGCCCCTCGCCCAGGCCGGCCCCGCCCCCCGCCCCCCGCAGGGACCCTCACCCCGATGGGGGTGTGGCCAACCTGCAAACCACCCCAGCCCCTTGCCCAGGCCAGCACCGCCCCCAGTGGGGACCCCCACCCTGATCCAGGACCCCCTTCAGGGCAGACCAGCCAGCCCCCACCCATGCACCAGGCCTCTATCTT